CGATGGTATGCAAAAAGTCTGTGTTCCCCCAAATAATATTAATCACAAGCAACTACATGTTCCCTGCCCCTCTTCCTTTAACTTTTTCTTAGGTATAAGTTTTAATTTTCCTTTTTTTTTTTTGGATTGGTTTGGTTAGGGGAACAGGGAGAGTTGGGGTTCTGGGGTTCTTCTCTTTGTTTTGTTCCCCCTCTCTGGGGAGTTTTCTTGCATGCTTCTTAACCATTAAAACGACATTTCATTTTCCCCTTTCCCCTTCATGCCCTCATTTCCTCCCATTTGAGGTTCTGTTTTTACCTTTGTACGAGGAACAGAGAGATGTTTTTGTGGTGCATTTGGGGGTACACGGAGGGGCCCCCGTGGCAGGAGGTCTCGCCTCTGTTGGCCTAGAACTCTGCTCCCCGACTTCTCCCCTGCAGCCCTCTTCTACGGACCCTGGTCTTCGCCCTGGCCCCCCAAATTAGAGCCTTCCTCCCCTGGTTTGCTCTGAACACAGACTGAGAGAGGGGCCCTGGTGGCCTAGGAGAGAACCCTTCCACTTCCAGACTCATCTGGCCCCAAACACCCGGTAGTCACCCTGCCCGCTGGTGGGGGCCTGTAGGGCTCATGTTATCCAGTTAAAAGTCCTAAGGGCTTGCTGGCATGAAACTTTGCTCTTTATATTTTGCAAAGTGCTTTTATAGTCATTGTTTTTCTCTCCATTATTGGGGTAGTGGTCCCTCTCCTGTTGGTGGGGGGGGGTGTCAGTGACCCTTGCTAGATGCCTCTGAAGCAGAGCAGTCTCAGTATCGGTGGGCAGTAGGACCTTCTATCTCTGCTGGGGCAAGGTTGGACAGCAAGGGAGACACGGCACAGCCGCCCTCTTCACCCCTTTCCAGGCCAGACCCAACAGATTCCCCAAAGCTGGGGCCTTCTTGGGTTCCCTCGTTGACTGGGATTGACGACTCAGGCCCTGGGTCTTCCCACACCCTCTTCTTCCCCGTCTTCTGCAGCATCGCGGGGGCTGCAGGGCCTATTTGGGATGAATAGAGCTCTCCCTTGGTAAGACTTATTTTGTTAATAAATGAAATACTTGGCTATATTCACACCGTGGTGTGTTTCTGTCTTGCCTTACCACCCCACTTCCAGATACCTAAGCAAATGCCTTTCTTTTATTCTTGTTTAAAGTACCTTATGGTTTCCTTCTCAGATTTCCGTTCAAGGACGTTTAATGCCTTTCCTCGAGAAAGGGGAGAATAAAAACCTGCCAACGCATGACGAATAACATAAAACCACCTTTATTTTTTTGTTCCACTTGGTTTTTTACCTACCAGCCTCACTTCAAAGACCTTGACATTTCCTGGGGACAGGGTGGAGAGAGTGCGTGCATGCAGATTTTTCCTCTGGGCCTGGATTCGAGGTCCAGGGCTTTGAGAAGGGAGCCAGGTCGGGGGTGCTCAGACTCCTGGCAGCAGAGCCCCGAGTCCCAAGGGTGAGCAAAGACGACGTGCCTCTGGCGCCACCTGGTGGCAGACAGCGACCGGCGCCATCCCCGACGGCACCTTCAGCGCTTCCCACTCTAAAGGCGGAGGATTTCCTCTTTCCTGAAAATGCTTTAATACAACCTGAAACCAAAGGGTCAACGCACCTGCTTAAAGGGGCGCTTCGCAAGGTTTGGAGGCTCCCCAAGGTCAGCGCCGGTTTGTCCGCCCCACTCATCTGCGCTCCCAGAGACTTATCAACAGGGTTTGGGTTTTGCTGAGAAGGCGCAGCAATTGCTCGGGACCTCGAAGCCACGCTGGGTCCCAGGTTTCTTCACCGCGCGAGTGACACTGACTCTCCTCCTCCGGCAGGAGAGGGTGGGGTACCGTTTATCAGGATGGCGGGACGAGATTGGACACGTTCCCACTGCGAGGGGAGTCCCCGAGGCCGGGAGCAGGGCCCCAGCCGCGTCCTCCCGGGGCTGGCGGACCCCGGACGGCGAGCCCGCACCTGCCGAGACCCGCCTGCGCTGGTTTCCGCGGCCCGACCCCGGCGCCCGCACTTCAAAACGGCCTTCCTCGCCCCCTCCTGGCCGCGCTCCTCAGCGTCTGGCCGCGCGCGTCTGGCATCTGCTGTTGCTGTCACGTTGTTTGGCTTTGCTTTTTGTGAGGAATGAGCCCTATTGGGCAGTTCGTGCTCCGCAGTGTGTGTGCTTCCGAAACTTCCGAAGACCCGAGGTCAAGTGCAGAAAGGGGGGAGGGATGCCAGAGAGTGGCAGCGTGGGCCTGAGCCTGTGTGGGCGTCGTGCCCTCCGCACTTGACAGAACCTGGGCATAAGATGTTTTTGTGAGGTTGGGGATTTGGGGAGGAGGTGGCACTTATATCTTTGATTCTGGGCAGTATTCCTTCATTAGTCAAGAAACGTCAGGCTTCTCCAAAACCTGTGGGTGCTGGCCACCCCGAAACCCTAAGCGTGCCTCTGGCGAAGGGACCAGGGCTACTGGGGTCACTGGGCACCGGGGAGACTGAGTCAGGGTCTGACTGTGACGCCCGGAGACTTGCTCTGGCTCTTCCCGAGGAATGATCGGTGTCCGATTTCTCAGAGTTCAGATTGGCCCGAATCTTTAAAAGACCTGAAAATGAAGTCACTTGCATTTTCTTTTTGCCATTGGTCATTTATTTCCCACCGTCCCTTTCTCTCAAGCCCCCCACTTTTCTTCGGTTACCTTTTAAATTCCTGCTGAAACTGCTGGAAACTGGTCCCTCTGCAGGGGGACTGGAACCTAAATCTCGCAGTCTTCAGACCTCCCTACCTAAGGACCACCAGGCTCCTCTTACTGGGACCAAAGAAAGGAAAACCATCTCCCACAGCAAACTCTCCCTGTAGCAAAAGCAGCTTTTCTGTGGCTGTTTGGCTTACAGGGAGGTGTGAGAATGCAGGTTAGACACTCCTCAGACCAGAAAGGTTGCCCCCACCTGCCACCATGAAGACAAAGGTAGGTACTGTCGTCTGGAGTGTCCCTGTTCTCACCCTGAAATGTCAGCTCTTCCCACTGCAAATGGGTGACATTCCTAACAAATGTGGCTCTTTTAATTAGCTGGTGGGGAGTTTGTTACTTTCAGTAGCTAAATTCTCATTAAACAAAGTTGCTGTTTTAATCGAGATAATACTCCCCACCAACTGTTCAATTTGCATAATTAATTCATCCAGCAACTCTTTTCTTTGAGAATCACCTCCACCTTCTCTTTCTCCACCTTCTTCTCGTCCTAACCCTCCTCCCCTCCTTCCTCATCCCTCCCAGGCGCCAGAAATGGGGCCTGTGTTCCTAAGGCACCAAGAAGGGTGGAAGCCACAGCGCTGGAACTTGAGACACTGGACGTTCCTGGCTCCAGGTCATATTTTCACACCTCTTGCCTGGTTATTTTTGTGGCTTCGTGGGCAGCTGTGGGAGGAAGGGAGGAAGAGAGAGAGGGGAGAGACTCGCCCTCGGATATAGGTTTGACACAAACAGAATTGTGTGGTGTTAATTTTAACTTCCCGATCGTCCCCCACAGACCCACTTCCTAAGAAATCCGTAGCCCGAGTGTGGGCCGTGGGGTTCTTCCCCATCTTTAGGCAGACCTAACTGCCTCGCCGTACCCAGCATCCCGTTATGTGTCTCTCAGTACGTGAACTAACTCCTTCCTGATGTATGTCTGGTTCACCGTGGCATTCATCTTAAAATAGTCCTTTGGCTCTGCGCTTTATTAATCATTCTGTAGGGGAAGCTGCACTCCACTTTTCTGTTTGATTTGATTTCATTCATCCTGTCTTTTTGTAAAATAGATGGTTGAGTGCATCCGATAATGTATGGTTTAATTTGGAGCACTATGGGTTTGAATTACCATTTTCATAATGTGCTGTGCATTAATGTGTTACATCATTTATAAAGAGGAATGTGCTGGGTTTCAAACTTTCTCCTGAAAGCCAAAGTCACCTAAAAGAAACAAAGCCAAATCACACCGACCCATCTTCTTACCTCGCTGCCGGAGGAACCCCTGCCTCCCCCACCCCGCGAAATCTGCCAAGGCTCATAAAACCCAACATGAGGCTTTTGTGTTTGCATAATGCAGGTGGGTGTCAAGGTTTGGGGGGAACTTGCACACGGCTGCCCGGGAGCCATCAATGGCAGTACAAAGCTTCTCCTCATTATTGCATAACAACAGCTTTCCAGCCAGCCCCGTTCTGCGGAGACCTCCAGTGGACGGCTCTCGACCCTAATCCCAGCACTCCCTCCCCAATGGCTGTAATAACACCAGCTGTCTGTTACTCAAACTCTGACTGAGGAGGAAAAAGCACTGATTATCCAAATACAGTCATTAAAGGGGAAATGTGTTTTTAGGACTGTCAGAGTGATTAATGAGGGCTAGCCGTCTTTGCAAATGCACTTGTTTAGTCTAACTGGCAGCTTCTATTTTCCTATTGATTTATTGCAGCCGTTGCCGGGCCTCGGTGTGTGCGAAGTCAGGGCACTTCACAACTGTGCCCTGTTCAAACAGGAAAAGCATGCACCATTTTGTCCGGGAGGGAGGGAGCAGCCCAAAGTCTCTCCCTTCAGTTCAATCTCCAGGGCCCCAGACCAACAAAGAAGACATTAAAAACCTGCAGCCCAGAGAGGGAAGGAAACTGCCTCCCCTCTCTGGTTGTCCCCGGTCACTCAGTTCCAAGGTCAGTGGAGACGCACCATGGCGCCTGGACAAAGCCTGCCCTATTGTAACACTCAGCATGCCCACATTTTCTCCTCCAGTCCCCCCAAACCACCTGTCAGCCACTCAGTCCAAGTTCAGGAAAGGCACCCAGCAGAGGGGGAGGCCGGGGAGGGGACTGATGGGGCAAGGCCAGGAGAAAACAGAACACCGGAGCAACCCCCCCCCCCCGTGGCCCCAGGGCGGGAGGGAACAAGGTCAGGGGCTTTGCGAGAAACTGATTACGCCCAATGGATGATTTCAACTTTTAAAAAGAGGTGGGGGGGGGAGAGGAGAAGAGACCACAAGAGTAGTAGCTACTTCTTTCCACTTGTACAGTTTCTATTTTGACAAATGATGTATCTAATGGCCAAAACAGAGAAACGGCAGCTTGGAAATAGAGCCCCAGTATTTGGGATTCTCCGTCCAGGCCGTCGATCATCACAGCAAACAGAATGTACAGAATTCCTGCTACGTGCGCAGCGCAGTGCTGGATGCCATGAGATAGAAAAAAACACAGACCAAACTCCTGCCCATTTTTCATGGGAGAGACAAGACATCATCCATGAGCCAGGGAGCAAGAGAGCATTATATATAGCTGCATATGTGCTGATCTAATAAAGTGCTAAATCCTTCCTTGCAGACAGTGGAAGACAGGATGGGATATAACAAGGTGCTAATTGTGCAGATCAGGTGGTCAAGCTGCAGGAGCTGGAGGGGGGGTTACTGGGGCTGATGTCAGGGACCCTCCCCCGGGAGCTCCAATCTGTGGGAAGGCTCTCGGTTCCTCCTGGGCTGGAAAGATGGATGAGACGGTCGTTCTGGAGCGGTGAGCAGGCGGGATCTTGGCGCCCCTGAGCCAGTAATTTCCATTTCTAAAGCAGATCAAGGAGCAGGCTTCGCTAAGGCTGTAAACAACGCATCTGAAGTTTCTTCCGCCCACCTCTCCAGGCAGCCGCACCTTCCACAGAACATTCCTTCCACAGAGCTTTCCGGGCGTGGAAGTGGTTTGTGCTTCTTCCTCCACGATGTGCCTTTCCAAGTTTTCCTGGGGTGGTGGCATATCATCAGCATTATTAACACTTCCTAAAACAGGAAAAGCTGTCAGTGAATTTGGATCACAGATGAACTGGGGAAACTGTCTCTTAAGAAAAAAGAAGCTGAACCTGCTGGCTGAGAAAAAAATGAAATGACCGTATTTATAAACTTCTAAACGGAGCCAATGGCGTAAGGACTTTGGTGAACTTTAGGCTATCGTAGCAAGTTCAGAAAGTCTGGCCATTGTACGACTTGTAGTAGAAAGAGTGTTGCAATGGGAATCAGGAAACCTGGATTTTGTTCTGGTCCTGAAACTTAATTGCTTTGCAACCTTAGGCAAGTTCCTTAATCTCTCTGAGTCCCTTTTCCCATTTTTGAGATGAAGTTGTTGGGCCCTTTCGTCTTTCAGCACAATGGAATATTCTATGAGTTTATAAAATGTTTAAATAGTGAAGCCTTGTGGTGGTCAGAGTTGGTCAGTTTTGGTCACTGACCCCCGGTCTTACAGTTTTCCAAGGTTCCTGTCAGGACAGCCAATGTGGGAGATCCAGAGAAAGAAACCTCACGACTTCACCTAAATCATGGAGAACAGGTGGAGCACAGACAAGGAGAATGTGTAATGTGGACTTTTCACCCAGAGAACTGGCTTCAACAAAATGAATTATTAAAACATTTTTAATTTGACGAAATGCTGACCCTACGATGATTCAGGTATTTCAGAGACTGTGTGGGTGCTGGAATGGGTCAAACATTATTATTAAAAATAACGTTCAGATTCCTGTGAGGTTAAACCAAGGTCTTCAAAGAGAATCACATTTTTCATAGCCTACAGCCAATTGCTTTTGGAAAACAGGACTGGCGAGGGAAGAAATGAAAAGCAGATACAAATCGAGCCGCAGTGGGGGAACTTTGCTGTGAGTGGGCAGTGGGTATCTCCACAGTTCCCTGGAAGACAAAGTCATCCTCCCAGAGTTTAAATGAGAGCCAGGTTTTAAAATGGAAACAGTAATTGAGAAAATGTCATTGCGAGTCCCTGTTTGCACTCCTGGGTATGTGTGCCTGTGAGTGAGCGTGTGTGTGCGTATCAGTTATATACGGTTTGTGCATGTTCCATAAGGAAACAGTGTGACCGCTCTTCTTACTTTTGACAACTTCACATCGTGTGCCACCCGTCAGCTGTACAGAAATGATGGGCCAGGTCCTGGTTGGGTGCCTCAGTTGGTTGGAGCATTGTCCTGTAACCAAACGGTTGCGGGTTCAGTCCCTGGTCGGGACATGTACTGGAGGCAACTGATCAATGTCTCTCTCACATTTATGTTTCCCTTCTTCTCCTCTTCCCCTTCCTCCTCCTCCTCCTTCTCTCTGTAAAAATCAATAAACATATCCTCACCATATCAGGTGAGGGTTAAAAATAACTTTAAAAAATAAGACATGACAGGCCAGCCCCCTTGAAGGCAGCTCAAAAAGCATGATTTTCTGTGTGCATGGCACAGGTGAACATGCTGGGCATTTTCCACTTACAGCAAACTTCCAGTGCCCTTTAATGTGCACAACCAAATCTGGAGAGGGTAAGTAAACCACCTAGGATCTCGCAGTTAAAGAGCCATGGAGCCAGGCTTCTAACCCAGTTCTGACTCTAAAACCTTTTGCACTGAGCCACATAGCTTCCGACTTTGTGGTTAGTTGGGTCTGGATGCTACAGAGAGAGAGAATTAGGAGAATTTTCCCATCAAAACATTTTGACCAACACGCCTGCATGTGTTGGGACCATGCTAGACATCGTGCACTTCAAACAGCATTGACCCTGCCCTTCTTTTCCAAGAACTGAGGTGCTGCTCAGTGCAATGGGTTTGGCTCATTCAGTAAACTTTAGAGAGTGCTCACTGCATACTAGGTACTAGGATCTACTCTGTGGATTAAAAAGATGAGAGAGACATTGACCTTGCCTCCACAAGCTTATAGCCTAGTAGGAGGCAGATGTGTACGCTAATTAAGGTGTGATGGACGAAGAGCTCAGGTAATGCTTTTGTAATAGTCAGTATAAGCTAGATTATGCTGTGTAACAAATTAATCCACAAATCTGAGGGGTTTGACACAACAAAGGCTTGTCTTTCACGTCTACTACATCTCCATTGTGGACTGATAGGGATATCTGTATCAGAAAGGGTTGGACCTGGGAAGAACCAGTAATAGAGTAAAGCACTTATCTCGAGGCCTTGGCTTGTGAGATTGTGGTGGCCAGATAAGCAAGTGGAAGTCTGCAGGGCAGGCAGGCAGGAAGGAAGTATCCCAAGCACGCTGCAACTTCATTGGCATGAGCCATTTGGATTCTGGAGCCGGGGCAAGGCCTAAGCCCTGTTTTAAGGAGCTTTCCTGATTAGATCAGGCCCACCCCAGTTACTCTCCCTTTTGATCCACACATCTGCAAGGTTCCTTCACAGAAGCACCTAGATCGGTATTTGATTAAATAACTGAGGACTGTGTAGTTCAGTCCAACCAAGGTGATACATCAGAAAGCATCAGTGTTGCACATAATTTAATCAGGCCCACTGACTGAACAAAAATATCCTCAGTGGTCACAGCAGGGGGAGAGCTGGAGGGTCTTGCATGAATAATTGCATGTTTCAGGTCAAAAATTACATATGTCACATCTGCTCATCATCCTGTGCCCAGAACTGGTCCTATGGCCCCTTCCTAACTACAAGGGTGGGAGGTTGACCCTCCCTCCTGTTCAGAAGGAGTGGAGAGCCAGAGGGTCTGCCACAGGTGTTCTCGGGGTGCTCTGAGCAGCTCCCGTCATTCCCGTCCCACGTTTACTGCCCGCAGAGGGACACTGGCTTCTTGACAACATGAAGGCATGCAGTCACTGCCGAGGGCCACGTCGTGACCAAAGGAGAAACCAGAAAAGAACTTACTGTCCCCCACTCCAGCTCACCTCCACCCTGCTTCCTCAGGCCTTCCCAAATAGAAGCTCCTTCCAATCCCTCCCAACCTGCCGAACCTTGTTTACCTGGAGAAAGTTTACATTTGAAATCACAGGAACCAGGTGCCTCTGGGAACAGAATGCTCAGGGCATGCAACCTCTTGGCGTCTCTGGACCACACTGAAGAAGAGTTGTCTTGGGCCACACATTAAATACACCAACAGTAACTAAAACTGATGAGCAAAAAAGGGTTTTAAGTAAATTTATGATTCTGCGTTGGGCTGCATTCATAACCATCCTAAGCTGCATGCAGTCCCCAGGCCGTAGGTTGGACACCCCTGCAGCCAGACAAGTCTGGCCTCTTTATGGTTAGGACAGACCTCTCCAGGCTACGGGGCCCCAAACTTCAGAGAGATTTGGGACTTCTGCATACCTTGTGGTCCTGAGCTCTTCACCAGGCGGCTTGCAAAGAACCACCTGTTTGAGCATAAAGGCAGTGTATCAACAAGCCCCCCTCACAAGAAGGGCAGGGACTTTGGGTGGATTCGGCTCTAGCAATACTTTCATCTGTGAAATTTACAAAAAGCTAAGTATTGATTCAAAGTGATAATGATCCATGATCACTGCCAAACAAGTGCCATCAACACTTGTGCCATAAATTTACATGGAAACAGCCTGGGCAACAGGGACCAGACACGGCCTTTTCCCTTCTCTCTGGCATTTATTGAGCACTTGCTGTGTACCAGGCACCGTGCAAAGCAGCAAGATTCATGTAATCCTGGCAGCAATTTTCTGCGATGAGTCTGTTATTGAACACAGTTTTCCCAAGGTCACAGAGCCAGTAAGCAGTAAAGGCAAGATCCCCACTGAGTCTAGCTAATTCCAAAAACTCGTAGTCCTGCCACCAGAGCGACCACACAGTGTCACGCAGGTGATGCTCTTCATGAGGCATCAGGTCAAGGGAAGAAGGGAGGGCGCCACAGCCACCCGAGACCCCTGGCCTGGGCTGCATCCCCCTGGAAAGGGGACTTACCTAAATCTCCCTCAGGCTCCAGCTGGGTTGAGGCAGGATAGGCAGAGCCTCGTTAACCTCTGACCCTCTCCTCCAAAGACCACTGGTCAGGAAGGAAGCTTAAGTCCTCTGACCCTAGTCTCATTTCCTGATGGTCCAGCTGAGCCGTGAGTGCACATGTACTTGTGGAAATATTGCTGAGAACCTACTCTGTGTGCTAAATGCTATCAGAAGATAGAAGATGCATTAAGACATGACTTTTACCATTTACAATCTCATATGGAGAACAGTACAAACACATGCTAATAATGGGAAATAAAGGATGACATTAACGAAGGAAGGGGACCTATAAGAAGTGTTGAGAGCACCCTGGGACCTAGAAAGATTCACTTGTTCGCTTTGCCCCAAGAAAGGAAGAAGAGGTCTTAGAGGCCAGTGCGAAGCCCAAAGCGTGACGACACAGGTGTGTTGGGGGACATTCCTCCAGCTCATACCAACCAGCTGCCATCTGCAGGAAGCTCAGAGGCACCTGCAAGTATAACTTAAGGGAGTCAGTGCTTCAGGTCCCCCGGCATAGGTGCAGCCACGCAGCAGCCTCGTCAAAGGAGGGCAACAGCCTCGGTACAGACATAGCCCGGGTGAGCACCATGAAGGGGCTGCAGCCACAGGGAAGGAGGGCTCTTCGCAAAATTCAGCTCAGGGTTTGATACCAAAACATGCGTCCCACTTGCTGGCGTAGCTCTCTGGTCATGGCCACCCACCCTGGGCTCTCCTGCTCCCAGGGTCCACCTTCCGGGCTCCAGGTACAGCTCCAGGGCCCAGAGCTCAGCCAGGGGCTCTGAAGCCTCCTGGTGCTGACACGGACGGGCGGGGCCTTCGCGCCCAACCCTCCTTGATGTCCACCTGCCTCCCTGACCGCACTCCCTCCTCTGCGAGTGTTAGAGGAGCAAAATGTTCTTAGAGATCATCCTTCTCTGCACCCCTTGCTCCTGACCATCACCCTCCCCTCCGGCCCTCCCCAATGCGGTCCCCCCCCAACACTCACACACACATTCTCTCCCTCTCACCCTCACCTCCCTTCCCTCCCCCACCCCTTCCCCTCCATTTGTTTCAATGAACAGCCCTTTTATCTATTCTGTAGGTACAAATGAAGCTGTCAAATTTGATCAGACGCTTGATATGACAGGCTGTGGGAGTCAGGACCCCTTGAACAGAGTGGGCCTTGTCTGTCACAGCCTGCCTGACACTTCCCATAATGCCCAGACTGATGAGATTCTGAGTAGGGCCCAGCACATTTTCAACTCTATTTTGGGTGAAAACCCTTCTTGAAAGATCTTGAAAGGAGCTGGCAGTTCAGCTGCCCGGATGATTAATGAGGGTTGGCTCCGCTGGATGGATTTCTCCTGGTGCCAACAGCCGTCCTCCCAACAGGCTAGAACGTGTTGCCGTTGACTTCCCCCCGACACTTCCCCCTCGAAGCAACACCCCACAAAAAAACCTTTCCCACCAGCCCTCGGACATCCCCCCACCCCACCCCACCTTGCCACCCCACACCTCCGCTCACAGCCACCTCTGTCCGTGCATTGCCCCCACTCCTCTCTGGTTGTCTGAAGCGGGAGCAGCGCAGCATATGGAAACCGTTACCCGTCACAGCTGAGTGAGGCCTGGCTTCAGTGAGCAGAGCCCGCAGGTTTGAGGGGTGCAGAGGGCGGGCCGAGAGGGCACTGGAGCAGACAGGGACCCGAGCTCTCCCTGAGTGCCATGCCCCACGCCCCAGTGGTGGGAGATGGGCCTCTCTGCTTTTTCTCCATGGATCTCAGGGGCCTGGAGACAGAAACCAAGGGGTGTCTAAAGCCCCAAAGAGATGAAGCATCCAAGTCCTTGTTTTTCTCTTGCCTCCCAGTGTTTCTCAGAAGGGACGCTATTGCTGTTTGGAGCAAGACAGGTCTTTACCAGGTGGACCTTCTGTGCAGGGTGAAAGGTTTAACATACTTGGTCTCCAGACACTACTCGTTTGCAGTGTCGCCCCCCCTCACCCCCTTGCCCCGTTTCAATATGGAAACGACCAGAAATAACCCCTGCAATCCCCAAACCCGCTGGGGTGGTACTAGTGTGGTAACCAGGCTCCTCCCTCCCGCCCGAGGACCCTGCCGTTTCCCTGCCTCCTGCAGCACCCACACCCCTCCACCCACTCAGCGGGAAAGCACCGGGAACCAGGAGAAAGGAGGTGAGCGTGTTGCCCCACCCGCCTCCAGTACTGACTTTCCTCTTCCACCGCCTTCCCCAAACCAACCCTGCGCTATACGTACTTCCCTTCCTCTTCTGCTTTCCCATTTTCTGCAACAGATTATGGCTTATTCATGCTGCGGGGGAAAGAATGGCACCCAAAAGTTCTTTGGGGCTTATGAACTCTGAATCTTTACAAACCAGCCAGTGGAGGGCAGCTGGGGTCAGGAACACACAGGGGTTTTTTTTGTTTTGTTTTGGTTTGGTTTGGTTTGGTTTGGTTTGGTTTGGTTTGGTTTGGTTTGGTTTTTTATTTGTTTGGGGTTTTTTTTTAACCATAGATTTATTTTTTAAGCCAGTCTCTGTGGACTGGGGACTGTGTCAGAGAAGCAGCTGGATGGGTCCCTGTGACCAGGGCCATCACCCAGGGTCTCAGGTGGGACAAGGTAAGCACCTTCCATGGGCCAGGCCATGAGGACAGTCCCCAAGAACACCAAGCCATTTCCCATTTTCTTCTCCCCCTTTCCTTCTGACACACAGAGAAAATCCCATCATTTCTCTGCCCCCAGGCCCCTGGGTAAATGCCCAATCCGCTCTGACATCATCTGGCCCCCGAGTGGACCCAGCACCGTCATCGCCTTCATTCAGTGCCACCCACTGAGCATCCGCTACATGTCAGGCGCAGAGCTAGACTCTGGGCCCGCAACAGTGAGTGGACAGGGACATAGTTCCTGCCTTCCTGGAGCTTATACACTAACGAGGAAGGAAAAAAAAACTAAACACGTCAATGTATAATTAGAAATGTGATAATAGTGAAGGAAAAGCAGAGTGCATACAGAAAACATGTGACAAGGAACCCTCATTTAGAACTGAGGTCAGGGAGAGCCTCTTTGGGAAGACGACCTTGAAGCTGAGACCTGAAGGCTCAGTAGTCAGCCAGGTGAAGAGGGAAGCGTGTCTCCGGCTGGGGAGATCCACACCTGAACATCTGCCTTATTCTCTTGTCGGGAAGGTGCTTTCCCTTGGAGCTATGCTTCCGAGAAGAACAAAAACTCAGTAACTCAGCCCGAGTCTGGAAAGAACCAGAAGAAGGAAGGGTCAGGAGGGGAAGAGGAGCCAAGGACTGTGGAGCAGGAGCCCTGGCCACTCAAGTTGTCCCTCAGTCTGGGGCACCAACAACTGCTTTGGCAAGGCAGAACCAGGGACCGATGCAAGCCAGAGGGCGGTCAGAACAGCATCTCTCCAGGGGCTGCAGAGAGGCCCTGGGGCAGAGCCTTAAGGTTTTCCAGCTCCTGGAGCTCTTACCTGGAGCTGCTGATAGAGACAGAAATCAACCCAATGATCACTCAAATCAATATGCAATTACAAGTGTAAAGCTCAAGAGAAACTCAGCTTTCTCCCTTGCAGAAAGATAACTTTTGCATGACAACTAAAAGAGTGTGTTTCTTACTCTTGGAAACCCACTGGTGCCTATTGTCTAATGAAGACCAAACCTTTAACCTGGCATTTGAGCCACCCACAGAATGGCCCCACAAACCTTTCCACCCTGCCCTACCAGAACCCTCCCAGGAACCAAGCACAACCTACCATTTCCTAGACATCACGCTCTGGCATTGAGTTTTTCCTTCTTTCTAAAGAGCGTACCTGTGCACAGCTCACTGGTCTCATGTGCACCCCAACCAGTCATGGTTCCCCTCTTCCAAATCCCTTGAGCCACATACGTTTGCCTCCTTTACAGTCCTTCTCTATGTGAGGACCCCTCGTTGTGCCCTCCACTACTGGACCATAAGTTGCTTTAGGGCAAAATGGTGTTTTATTATTCTGTGTGTCCCCCACGTGCCCAGGGCAGTGCCAGGCATGTGGTGGACAATGAATGAATGCTTGCTGAATTCCGTGTGGCCAGAAAATAGCGAAAGGGCTTAAACATTTGTCAACACCTTTGAACTGAAGTACACAGCTGGGTGAGAGAAGAGGCCCCAGGGGTAAAACCCAAAGGAGGGACAGCGCCAGAGCCATCAGGAAAAGAGAAAATGTAAACTCCCACCAGTGGCCCAGTGACCAGAAGCCTTTCTTTCTCTTGTCAGTGTCCCCATGCGCAGAACAGGAAGGGTGGTCCCAAGGGCACGGGCAGCCACTCTGAGGATGTCCGCTTGGCCCCCAAATCCTTGGGTCAGACAGAGGAGACCCCCTGGGCATTGGGTGGTAGAGGAAGAAGTTCCTCTACCAACCCACCATGGCAGCTGACATTCCCCCACTCAACTCATTCTTTGGAGCTAAACAATAAAGTCCTTCCAAAAAACCCTTAACATGTGCCTGTTAAAGGGGTGGAGGGAGAGCGGACAACCCTCTTAATACATCAGAGTTCACCAGTCGTGTTTGGGACCAGCCCGCACTAGGCAGACAGAGAACAGGGACCGCCGGGAATGAGACGTGAGACCACTGAGGGGTGGGAAGCAGCCAGGTCAGCAAAGTTCTGGAACATGAATGTTTTCCCAGGAAAGGCAGCTCTGGGGTTAGTGCCCCCCAGAGACCCTGGCAGCTGGGCAGCCCACACACCAGTATGAAGAGCGAGAGGAATTCCTTTCAGAGAGCGATCGGCCACAATGTAGACTCTGTCTAATCCTTACCGCGCCCAGTGAAAGCCACCACCACGAGGTATGGTCCTTGACCGGGCCATTGCTGGGTCCACAGTGTCCGGTCAACACCCGGTGCACGATGGCCACTCAAGAGACATTTCTTCATGAAATGAATGAATAAGGCTGTACAAAGAGAAGTTCATCCTCCCTCTGCATTCTGCAAAGGGACCCAAAGACCTGTGGAAGTTCAAGCTCACGTTGCTGGAAGCCATCCCTGAAATTAGTCAAGTTCCCGAAGCTAGCAGACAGAGGCCCACACCTGAGTGGCTCGGGAAGAACACATTTTACACCCTTACTCCACCAGCTCTTGGAACAGAACGGAGCGCCCTGCTGTCTTTCACGATTTCTTCAGGGAGCACAAGAATTTTCCTGGCCATTGGGCCAGAATATAAAAACAAGGCTACATAAAGCAGGCCTGAGAGGAAAAGAGTAGGCCAAAAACAATATGCTCCTCTCTCCCCTGTTTTTTTAGGACCTCAACTTCTTTTCCCAGTGAGGAGGAGGAGGAGGAGAGGGGACCAAAGCCTAATGACCTTCTGCCCCCTCGCCAGGACAGAGGCCCTCCAGGCAGGGAGTCAAAGCAAACTTTTCCAAGACTGATTACCAGGAGGGTGACTAGGTCCACAGAGCACATGTGAGCGGGCTCCTCGTTTCCAATTCAGGACTGTCAGATGGTGATTAATGACTAACAGCCACAGAGCAGCCTTGATTGCCAAGTGCCGTATTGTTAATGCTGACGTTTAATGAGGCCGGACACAACTCCAGCACAATTCCACACCATCATCTGCAAACAGCGCTCGACGGACCTAATTGGTTAAGTATCTGTGTGTGTGTGCGTGTCTGAGACAGAGAGAGAGGCATAAAAGGCCAGGGAAAGGGGTGAGAAGTCCGTGTGGAAATTTGCCGCCTGTGGGCCTCCATATTTTAATATGTATGACTGTCTTATCACCCGAGTCAGGTGGACTGGGTCCGCATGACCATTCCGCAGACCTGCAGCATCACCTTGGTCCCCCCAAAGCAAAGTCTCTGGCAGGTGAAACCTCAATCTGCACCCTCCCCACTCCGACACTCCACCTGCCCCCTGCTGTGGTCTCCCCACCACCACCGCCCAGTCACCATCAGCACCTCTGTCTCTGGGGGTCAGCCGAGAACTGGCGTGTCTGTGAAGTTGAAACACAGGCAGGGGAGTTGAAAGAAGAAGCTGTCTGCAAGTGGGCGTGCATCCAGGGCTCCTGCAAAGCCACTTTTTCACTGGACTCAGATCAATGGGCCCTTGGCCTGCCGGGCGGGGCAGATTCCTCCTTTGCCAAGAGAGAGCTCTTCCCCCCATTCCGGAACTCAACGTTCTCTTAGGAGAGGAACGGAATCCATCTTATTGTTCTAGAAATTGAGTCCCAGGCACTGGGGACAGAGAGACTGGCCCAGTAAGGATTCTTTGGGCCAACTGTTCAAGGTGACAGAGGGCACAGGAAAAGAGATGTTGGCTCCAAAGGGACAAGTCAATTCAAGGAGTTTGTACTCACAGAACCCTGGCAGTCCTCGGGATGTTGCAGCTTTGTCTCACTGGGACAGAGGAAGGGAGTGACACCCAGGTAGCCCAGCTAGTTGGAGGAATACCCAGAACAGAGAAGAGGAGCCTGGACGGTGGGCGCTAAGGGCCAAATGAGCAGCACAAGAGGTCAGTGTCACCACTCAGAGGAGAGGCCAATTCAGAGGAAGAGGCCAGAAATGTCTAGAAGGGTCAGGGAGTGTGCAAAGCAGTCTGAATGAGGGAAGGCCTCG